TGTGTTACCGTTACCTGGCGTCGGCGTCCGCGTCGGCCACGGAAGGAACAGAGCTTGTGTTAGAGTTTTTTGACAGCAGAGTATTGGATTCATTAGGCGTATGACCAATGCTTCCACTGTTTCCAGCACCCGTTGGCGTAGGCCTTTGGAGAAGTTGGGAGGTGTCTGGTAGACAACCTGAAAGGCTTCACTAGTATCGACTCGGTGATTCGTATCGACAAAGTGTGCGAGAATAGAGCTCGAGATCGATTTACTTTCACCTTTACTTAACCAGGCCAGTACGTGTTCACGTACTCTCTTTTCCAGGCTCTTCGTTGTTCGGCCAGTGTATCCTGCTCCACAGGAGCAAGTGAAGGAAGTGGCCATACGCCTAATGAATCTAGTACTCAGCTGTCAGAAGACTCTAACACAAGCTCTGTCCCTTCCGTTGCCGACGCCGACGCCAGATGACGATAGCACATCGCCCCCAGCCACGAGTGGCAGTCGCTCACCCAATACGCCGACCACTTGCGCAGACTAACAAAGTCCGCAGTAGCTAATAAGCGCCCACCTAGGACAATTATTGATTTTTATACACGTTTAAATGTTCATTGTTTTGCTAAGTTAAAGGCCTGACGAAGAATTGCCGAAAAAACATGTTTTGCCTGATAAAGGGACTTTTTAAGTTAACCATGGGAATATTTACGAAACATAAAATCATTTTTAACATTTACAGAAAAAAACAATTTTCACATGTGGCCGTTACTTGCTGAGTAGAGGTAAAAAGCCCCAATTTCCCAGAATATTTTTTCGCATGCTCGACAAAATGGACTATTGTTACATTGTCACCGAACTCAAAAACATATTCTGTCATCTACTCCCACGGCGGGCTTGTCACCATCTGAATGCTGATGAACTTCGTTTTTGCGTCGGGGACGTCCGATCTTGAAACGCCTTTATAATTATCATAAAATTAATTTATTTGCTGTTTTAATAAGCAGGGAAGTTCATTACCATAAAAATGCAATAGGGCTCAAAAGTACAGTAATCTAGAGTGCGCATATACCTGTATAATACTATATAAAACAAACTACCAACCTATTTTTAGACCCTTTGGCTTCTTCTTCTTCCTCTTCTTTCCAAACGCAGATATGAGATAAAACTTCTTGATGTAGTTCTTGCCCGCCAAGAAAGCCTGCCAATCGATCGTCTGATTGTGGTTTGTATCGCAGCGGCTTACGACACGCCGCAAGTCCCGCTTCTGAATGGGCGCATCCAGAGACTCGAGGACGTCAAAAAAGTCCTGCTGCGGTATGTACCGTGCCGGCTTTATTATGGATGGGGGTTTCGTACTGAGACGTTTACGGGTCTTACTGCTGCTGCTGCTGCGACGAGGGGAAGTCGATTGGCTTCCAGACTGCAAACCTTCTCGCGCTGGAGTGTCGACAGGTGATTGCGGCTGCGTTGAAGTCGGCGTGTCTGCCTTGGCTGCGGCTTCGTGTGCCTCTATCGCCACCCGGATGCCAATGCTACTGAAACTGGAGGGGGACAAAAGCATGTAGAGTGAGAAGAAAAAGAGGATTTGACAGCTGGGATAACACTT